TTCCTTCCCAAAAGGTTGTGTGGCACTACATATATACCTCACATTCTTCCATGAAATCTTGTCACAGCACGAAATGGATAGTTTTATCTCAATTTGATTTTTTTTCAGACTCATGTTAGACTATGGACAAGGATTTATCCATGAAAATCATTTGATCAGGTAATATGTCTCTCTGGTAAGATATAATTCATACACATTCCTAAATATCTTCCTTAATTCCCTTCTCTGGGATATTTAAGATAAATCTGTAGCTTTTAAATGCCATCATAGCACAAATATTAATTGAAGTGGTTTGGTTTGGAATTCTTACAGAGCTTCCAGAAACACCATGGCTTATATCGAACTATATCTTGGGATGCTTGATCTCTCTAAGAATCAAGAAGAATGCTTTGTCTAAGGACTTTCTTATATCTCTGTGGTAGGCTGAAGAAAACTAGTTTTCATTGATTCTCAACAATCAGGATTCATGTTTTTCACTGATGAAGGGACTCTTATAGGCACTGATAAGTGACTACAATTACTAGAAATGACTATATAAGGAAAATTTATTATTAATACTGTGGTCAAGAGAGAAATTTTAGAAAGTCTGGAGAGAAATCCCTCAAAAGCTGTAATAGTAAGTGGTTACTATGGAAATGTAATTGAGGTTTGGAGCTAACTCAAGGAAGAATGGTATTACAGAGCTAGAGTTAGAGAACACTGTGCATGCTGACCACTCCTCAGCATTGAGCCATCTAGCAGGTTGTACTGAGTTGCCCATCCCGAATAAGACAAGCCTTGGGGTTAATATGAAAATCATTTATACAATATAATAAATTGGTGCATGGAAGTCGTATAGGATGATGGAAACACAAAATTACATAAAACACTGAGATTAGAAACATAAAAAAATGTGAATATTATTTCTAGCAAGTTCTGCTTTATATTTTGGCTTTAGAAATAAGTGCTTTTGGGCTCAAACCAGACAAAAATCTCAGTATAGAAATAGGGAAGTGGTGAAGGAGTCCAGCCTTAGCTAAACAACTATTAGCAACTGATAACCACTGTGAGAGGGAAAACTGGTTTCCTTTAAGAATGTGACATTAGGTAGGTTAATGGGGCTTCAGTAGATTGCTGTACACTGAAGGACATTTGAGGACACAAACTTGGCTCAACTGACCTTCACATATATGACAGAGTATATGAAATCTGGTGGAGGAAGGGCTATAAGTGAGTTGCAGATAGGGGAGGGGGGTTAAATGCCATCAAAATATATTGTATGAAATTAACAAAAATTAAATTTAAAAAGGGAAAAAAGGGAACAGAGTTTTAGTTTGTACAAGCTTGTCAATTATAATGCCACTCTTTGGTATTGCTAAAATATGAATCACTTTGGTAAAACTTTCCTTTTATAGTTCTACTAAGCAATAACAACTTTCAAAGAAAGTAACAGGCAAGAAAAGAAGTATAGGTTGTACTTTTTGGAATAACATAAAAGCCAATCTCTTCTTCATCTGAAATTCCTTGTAGACTTTGATAGCCACTAAATATTAAATGAATTATTATTGGCTTGACACATAAAAGCCTTTCTACATCTGATACTTTCTATTCATGTTTTGGTAGCCTTCTCATAGGTTTTAGTACTGTTGAATTCAGAGTATGTTAGCAATTTTGAGTATACACAGTCATGCAGGTGGGCAGACTATCAATAAAAACCTTGGAATAGCCTGTGACAAGAACAATAACAACAGAATTAGTAGAGACATAAAAATATTTTTCATACAGCTACTTGTAAATATATGCTTCTTCTAATGTTACTTTTTCATAGGAAATGTATTTTAAGGAGTAGTTTTATAATTTTCCCTTGGTTCATAGATATCATATTCTGTCCCCATCAACCAAGTTTGCTTATTATCTAAACAAGTATCCCTTCCGAAGCCAGCTCTAGTAGGTCTTTACTTAACTGTGTTACTTTGTTTGCCTTTTAGTGACTTTTTTTTAGCAGTAAAATGAGAATACTTGTTGCCGTAATTATGAAATTGTGATTAAATTGACTTGGCACAGCCCTGACCTATAAAGGAAATTTAGAAATATCCTGTGGAGCTATTTCCCAACTTGATAGAGATGATAGAGATGATGAACCTCAGGAAATAGTGACTGATGCTGCAAGATACTGGACGAAATGCGGCAAAGCCATTGAAATTCATGTTTTAAAAAGAAGAAAGTGGGAGAAGACGAAGGTAAAGAGGAAAGGAGAAAGAAGCAAAACGGAAGGGGAGGAAAAATGGGAGGTGAAAATGTAGAGGAAGCGGGAAACGAGAAAAAAGAAATTGCCTATTTTCTGGCTTATCAGAATTGTTTTTAAAGGGGTTAATTAAAATGATTCAAGACAAAAATTCCACAAATTCCTCACAAGGAACTTAATAAGATTTCATATATCATTTTCCCTAACAGTTTTCTATATTTGGTGATTATAAGGAACACACTCAAATTTTCAAAGTTACATAAGAGTAAGGGGAATACTGCTTGCAAAAATGTTGGAATGAGAGATCATCCTACTTTGAAAATAAACAGCCGGTTTCAGATTCCAAGGATCTGAGAATGTCTTCATCTGAAGTAACTTGACATTCCCAGGCCTAGTCCTAGGTCCTTGTCTTCACCGGAGATTTGCTTCATTGCACTCCACACAAACTTCCAGACTACAGTTTCTCAGAGTTGTCTTGTTTTTGATAAGGTACGGGAATATCAGGGTGTCTGAAAGCGATGGAACCTTTCTCTGCTCGGTTGTGCTTAGCTTAGGAGGCTAGAGTCCAGAACAATGATCACCAAAGTCACCTCAAGCCAGAAGCTTTCTGGTTCTTATCTCCCAAATTCGAAGAATGAAATTCACGGATCAAAGAGGGTGAGTTTTAGAAAGAAGCATTTTATTATACGGCGCTTAGGAGAGAGAAAGAAAACAGCAGGAGGGGTCTCTGGATTGGGATTCCATTAAGCCACAGAGCTAGCTAGTTAATAAGGGGGATGGGAAATGAACTGGTCAGTCCAGTTCTGATTCCAGATGTCAAGGTCTCTGAAAATTCTGGTCACATCCATTGTCTTCCAGGAGAGGAGTACTACTTCAGGGAAAAGAGATAAGGTAAAAAACAAAACAACAACATAAAACAAAACAAACAAACAAAAAAAAACCAAGCAAACCAAAAACAGACCCCTTACTGGCACCCCTATCCCCCAGCTATAGTGGTACCAGAGACAACTTTGGATTAGATAGTTCTGGTGTCTCTGACCTCAGGCAAGGACAATTTCCAAAGAAATTTCCAGTTCTTAGCCAAGAAAGAAACTGGTCACTTGTCTTTTGGGATCTTCCTACCCTAAACTGCCTGTCCAGTTTCTACGTCCTGTTTTCATCATTTTGAAAGGAAATTTAATATCAATTAGTGTATTCTCTTCTAAATCGTGTTTGTCGATATGGGCTTCAAAATACATTTTATAGTGAACACTCGACCTCTGAATTCACCATAGCTGGAGTTACTTCAGGTTTTGAGTAATTTGAGCTCATAAATTTGAGATTTATGATCGAAGACTATTTGTTCCCGAAACTGTACAGACTCGGTCTGCGGTGGACAGATGGAATGAGTGAAGGCAAAGGACTCAACCCTCTGATGAAGGAGAAGAGTGAGTTTAAATCTTTACCAGTGCTTTTTTAATACTCTCAAAACTACAGTTACAAGCTTGGTGTTTGTGTCAAAATACATGAATTAGTTTCACAAAGACTGAAACACATTTTACAGGTTTACATTTAAAGTAGGCTTACTTTTGTAGGCTACAAAGAGTATATTAGTTTCTTACACAATTTATAGATTTTAACAATTTCTAGGAAGGCTAGTCAGCTGGTGATTCCATTTTACATTAAACGATCATCCTATGTTTTGCGGTACTATAACTTAGACTTATGTTTTTCTCTCATCTGTGGCTAAGGCAGCGTTCAGCCGAACCCAACAGTTTCGTTTTCAAAAAATGTCCGGACTCCCTCCGTGCCTGACCATTTTTAACTTCTTCCTTGCTGCTCTCCTTCACAAAACTCGTGACCTTTTTGTATGTCTGAATATTTATTCTCCTCACAAATGGATAACGAACTTATCCTTCACTGACTTATCAGCTCTTGTATATACTTAACTGTTTTCATTTGTGAAATAACATTATTTTTATGATAACTAGTATTACTATTTGTACATTTTAGAAATTTGCTCAGTAATAGGATATTTATTGAGTTTCAGCTGAAAATACGTGCTATTCTTACATTATTTTAAATTTACATAGGAACTCTAGTTTCTTATTATATATGTCCTAAAGATTCAAATATTTTCTTAAAAAATGACATTTATCTCAGGTTCATAGTATTGAACTGATTATAATCCTGGTGTCAAACCACATTTTCGTTATTTCTTCACCACTTGTGACTGTTTACTTAATGATTAGATTACACCTATAGAATCTAATTCAATAACTAAAAACTTAGAAAAATCTGCACATGCTTATGTATTTATTTCATATCTATGTTTGACCTCACCACACCTAACGTTGTTAAATTTTCATTATGTCGCATATGAATTTATCAAATATTTACATAGTTTAGTTGTTTTCTATTGTTTTTCATCTCATAAAAAGTGATACAGAAAGAATCCATTTTGAATATTTCATTATCTTTTACTGATTATTCTTTATCAAATTATATAGCTGTGCTTAGCATGTGTTTCAGAACAATATAGCATTGCTTGATCAATGGGCATTAGTATACATTCACATATA